TGCTGCTGCTGCTGCTGCTGCTGGTTGCTGCTGCTGCTGGTTGCTGCTCACGCTGGTTGCTGCTGCTGCTCCTGCTGGTTGCTGCTGCTGTTTGGCTGTTGCTGTTGCTACTTCTTGCTGGTTGGTGCTGTTGCTTGAATCCTGAAGACTGCTGCTGCTGCTTTGCTGTCCCCCCCTCTTTCAATTTCGTCTGCGCAACCCCCCAAAAACTGAACGAAAACGAAGGGTTGTGGAGGCCAAACTTGTGTGAGCTTTGGTGCTTTGCTGCTGCTGCTGCTGCTGCTGTTGCTGTCGTTGCTGCTGCCACTGGTGCCACTGCTGCTGCTTTCTGCTTTGCTGTGCTGCTACTGCTGCTGCTGCTGCATTGCTGGTTTGCTGCTGCTGCTGGCTTGTTTCTGCTCAGATCACTACCAAATTCTCCGCGGCGCAGGGTGGAGTCGAATGGGGGGGGGCCCGACATTTAAAACCAACTCTTAAACGACCAAAATCAAGCACAGGAGCTCGTGACCACCCCCAATACATTGCTAAAGCAAGGCAACTCAGGTAGCGTAACCGCTACCTTTCGTGAAAAGCTAGATCGACCTAGTTACTTAGTTGCTGGGCAGAAAGCATCAAGTTATTTCTCTACAAAAATCGGGTTCTGTAGGTGCCAAAAACTGCCTCGTTACAACATGGCCTCTCTGTAAGGGCCTCAATCCCTTTTCGTAAAAGAAATGTCAACAGTGATTACATTTTAAATATATACGGTGGTATTTTATACTACCTCCGGGGCCGATTGCTCTGGCCCGGCCAGACCCTTTAAATATACGGTGGGAACAGGTATTTTATACTACCTCCGGAGCCGATTGCTCTGGCCAGGCCACCATATATTTAAAAAGCGTTACCGTAGGCAAATAACATACGAAAGGTTTATTCATGGGCATTCCTTTGGTTCAAGGAAAAGGTCACACCAAGTTTCGGAGAGAGAAGACCATGTCCAACCCGCCCCTCGCCCACCCGCTCCTCGCCCACCCGAGCGGTTTGCGCGTCGGCGCTTGGCCGGTCTCCGACCGAGTGGCTCGCACGCTGCCGAAGGGGTCCAGTACATCGGTCTCCTTCTGGGTGGCAAAGCCAGGGATGCCTCGTTCGGCCAAGAGGTTTGTGTGTTCCATTACGATTTCGTGGTGTGTTCTACACGCAGGAGGCAAACCATCTGAGCACAGCCGGGCACAGCCAGGAGGTCAGAAAAAGCCACCTATACGCCTGGAAACAGGGGAGTCTAAGCTGCCTCTCCTCAAGCGACCACTTAATGCCACGCTAAGCCACTCAGTGACCGCTGTTGGTTGCTGCAACCATCCAACGAGTTCTCTGCAGTCATTGGGAGCATGCCAGTCCCACATCCCATTCTGTTTGAGTCCGGTGCTATACCACTAAATGTTTTGTTTGGTTTGGAGGAGTATTGAGGCACTACCCGAGCAGATCTGCTTTCTGCACCCAGACTTCGAGCCTTCAGACATTCCCATGCTGGACCGGCCCCACAGAGCCCACAGGCCCCACAGACCCCACGTGATCGGGTCGCCGACTACTACTGACACTTGTCCTGCCTTGGGTTGGAACGAAGAAGCTGATGCGATTGAGTCCCTATATATATTTTTGAGATTTGGGGCAGAGCTTGCTGACTTGACGTTCAGCTAATAGGCCCATGTACTTTCCTCCCATCATTAATGCCCCAATCTGTATGTCTCCGCATCATCTTCCGCATGAGAGGAAAACCCTTCTGCCAATCTGTATCAAGAATCCTTCTGAAAAGGCTTCGTTCCCACCGCGGAGTCGAAAGAAGCCCTCCGATGCGTGCGCCTTGAATGGTGATCTCGTTCACAGGAGTGCCCATGTCCCCTTGGTTCGGTTGCAGCTGAGAATGCAAAAAAAGGTCTATACTAGAGGCTAAAGTCAAGTAGCTGGGCGTATATTGAAATAGGGCGAATCTTCATCTTTGGGGGATCTCCCATACACACCCACAGGGGCTCTATGAAGCGCGAATGGGTACAACTGTGGTGGCCTGCTTCCAACCAAACAGGGCCCTGCAACACATGATATGGTTGCAAACGTAGAACAACTCGATCCAGGACTTCAACAACTCGATCGAGCGTCGGCGTCGGATGAAGCAGCTGTTTTACTTCTTCGGACCTTTGTGGACCTCCGCCGGGTGGATTGATCTATGAATCGGTATAAGTTTGCAAAGTGGCACCCAAGTGTCACTGGTGAAACCATCTTTCTTCACAGTAGCATCCCGCTTGGACTCCAAAGAAGGCTTCAGTCCAAAGAAGGCAAAGGTCCCCAAAACGACGAGCTATGGCCTCCATTTGCATGAATCACGCCGTTCGTGACATCACCAAGACTGACCACCAACACAAAGACCAAGCAAAAACCACTGGATGCCCGGCCATTGTTCGTCACCTGCCGTCCGCATGATCGGCATAGCTAGCTTCGCAGAATGAGGATTTTCGCTTAGCAACATATTCCCTCAAGTTGGCTTCCACAGTCTAGCAGGCTTCCTTGAACAAACACTCGATTGTTTCAAGGAACCAACCCAGATCAAATGCTCAAATGATATGAAAAAGTAAATAGATTCAAGTGATCAAATCACTTGGCCTGGCATCCTAGAGTGTGAATGAGTTTGACGAATTCGCGGATGTGCAAACCGATCAAATCCATGCTGACTACAAACGATACAGTGTCTGATTCAGGCTGCCCGGAAAGTTGCCAAATACTGGCGACATGAACCTCTCTCAATTTTTCTATCCAATCCCTCAACCACATCTGAATGGCCACACGCATCACCGAGCCTCCATGTGGAACACTAAAGTTGCGCCAACCGCTTGGATCTTTGCCCTGGCAGGGCAAACGCGCGGCCTTTCTGTAGCGACTGAAAAGGCTAGAAAGTACCGGGTGGATAGATGTCATAAATTCTATCTATGAAACATACAACAAAGCAATTACAGTTTGTGATTGCTCACGCTAAAAACTTGCACCCAAATGGCACGGTTGCAATAGTTATCCCCTTCCAATTTCCAAGCAATGTGCGGAAGAGTGCCGCCTTTGCTGGTTGTTGGGCAAATCGGCCTGCGTTGCGCGACATAGTTGATACGATACGATATGTAGTGTTAACATACATGACATATACAACTGTATTTATATAAGAAGTATCACCGATAATATCAATACTATATATACTATTATATACTGAACATTCATCGCAAGATATAGTAATTATAGCCTTCCAAAGCAACTGCCTTAGACACCACCTTTTAATCACTTGGCACCTGCTCCGGAATGGACTGGGACAAGTCTAGCCCAGCGGCTGTCAAGGCATCCTGCACAAGTGTGTGTGTGTGTGTGTCTGTGTGACACTTCTCGCTGAAAAATCGTTTAAGGGAAAAATCGGACTCCGAAAGCCAGGTGGCGCAGGCTTAGGCGCCCTGGGTCCAGCTGGGGCTCGTGCCATCTTTGCAAAGAAAAGAACATGCTCAGCAGGCGTTGTTCCACGCAATGTGATTCAAATGCATTGTGGGCCGTGTGATGATGTCTTGGACTTGGAGAGGAATGGGCTGACTCGCCGGCGTGGCTTTGTCAAAGAAAAGGCCAGTTCAGCAACAGTCATGAAACCGCACCAAGAGTGGGGAGCCCAAAACCATCCGACGAACTGCCGCTCATCTTTTGACGCGGACTTTTTTCCAAAAGGAACATGAAAACACGCACATTCTATGACTGTTAGATACGGGTACTAACCCCATCTAACCCCGTCTCTACGAGTCGCAGCGTACATCCTCTTTCCTCCCCAAAGCAACTAAGTGTCTTTTTCGAACATGTCCCACACAAGCCACAAAGTTTCTGGGTCGCTTCTCACTTCTCCTTCGGAAAAAAAAAAGACAAACGCTTGCCCGGCCTGCACCGAGATGGACACCACCTGCAGCTGTGAAACCATGGTGGGTGCCATCGGCTTATCGAAACATCCGACATCCCTCCCAGCTGGCGCCCAGCTGGCGCCCCGCCCGAGCCGGTCTCGTCCAGACGTGGATGTTTCAAAGATCCTCACTGGTCATACCGGAGTTCTGAAAAGGAGAACTATGCCATACTCGTGCATACTCATGCATGCTCATGATAATATTTCAACATCCGTTTATGAGGATCCTTAGACATCTTGGGAGGAGCTGGATGATGGATGAAAGAACTTTGCCCGCCTGCCCAGCGGCAATTTCTCGGAACTGGCCGCCCGTTGAAGACTTGATCACCTGAACGATCAGAGACTGCGTCCAATGTTCGATATAAACCTTGCAAAAACATGTGAGTGACTGAGTGACCTTGCAAAACATTCTCCAGCAAACTGGCATCTGTAGAATTGTTCCGAAACGGATTAAATTGAGTTCTGACAGCCAAGAATGACACAAGGTATGCAGGCGTTTTCAGGCGGTGGAAACCATTCCATGTGGGAGGCAGCCACGGGCCAACGAACTCACACAATGCCAGCTTCAACCGAAATGCTGTTGCTCAAGAGCAAAAGGACTACAGTATCAGCCTCCGTTCATCACCACACTTGGGTTAAGACCCATGACATGACTGACCGATCCCCCCAAAAGAATGCACCCATATGCACCCTCTTTTTGCCAGAAAATCTGCCTGAGAACACCGAAAACCACCAATGATCAAATCTGCCTGACGTTCGGAACACATGCATGCAGGGCTCAACCCTACTACACCCTCCTTTCGCAGGGCTGAACCTGACCTCCCCCGTGATACTCTCACGCTGTGCTGCGCCACCTCCCTGGGGAAAACAGTTGCCGTGGCCCCGGCGGTGGTCATCCCGGTGGTCTCCATGAGTTGCTTTCCGGACATCGCATGGGCGAAGCTATCGGGCACTCGCACCTGGTACCTGACACCGGCCGGCGCGCAGTGACGCCCTCCACCCACGAAACGGCCGATATAGGTCAGTCAGTGAAGGGGTCGCTTTCGCATATATAGAGGATTTGGGTGTTCGCAAGGTCACGGGATTCCGGCTTTTGGGAGGCCACTAGGACCAAGCATGGAACATGTCCAGCTAAAGCTGGTCACATGAGTCATATGTCCTCTTCTCTCTGGATGAGTAGACAACCGAGGAGAAGAAATCATAAGAAATCCATGTTCAGTGGTGATCTACAGTATGCTACTATGGTATTTGTCCAGCTTGCACAAACCTTGCTGTAGAAATCGCTTCATACGTGGAGACAGTGGAGAGCATCACGGATCATTATTGGGGCAGCAACCCATTGTCAGACGAGTGATCCTCGGATTTTTCGGGGGTGTGATCTTGATCTTGACCACCCCAAAAAGTATATGACAACTCCAGTGACAAGTACCTTTTTCAATCAGCCCTTCAAGGACATCCGACCTCCGCCCTTCACCAGCGACCTGCGCCCGACATCCGATGGCCGGCACTCCATGACGAACTGCGCGCTCATGGCCTAACACGGACGCACGAGCGGAACGGGCGGAACGAGCACCGTGTCGGGACCGGCGGGTCCGGCGCCGGTGGCAGGCCCGGTGGTCCAGATGACGGAGACCGGACCTGAACCGGAGAAGATCGTTGGGGGATGAACAACGGTTGGGGTATCTCCAAGGGTGTTCTAAGAACCTGTAAGATATCCAATTGCACTGTATGTATGTCGGAAAAAGGAACGTTGGGATTGAACAAAGAATTGGGATTAAACCGTGGCACACGTGGACGCCTTGGTCAAACCGGAACAAGGTTTGACTCCAATAATACACTGTTCCTGTATTGGTGTTTTTGTTCCAATAATACACTGTTCAAACTCTAAGAATTGGGAGTCTTTAGAGTACCTTGGTCAACACAACAAAACCGAACTTCGACGTCCTTTGCAACCTCCAAAAAATGCATCCTCCCCTCGTGACGAGTACGCCCTCCCTTCGTACGCCCTCCCTTTGTGGCTTCAACATCCCACACCGGCCTGGTGCCAGGTTGATGGGATCAAGTAGCTGGCTTTCTTCTTGCACCTGAGCGAGTCTATGTTTGCATCTGCACTTTGGAAAGGCTTTAGTGGCCATGCGTCTGCGAGTTGAACATGCGTCTGCACACCGCAGGTGAAATCTTGGATATGGCTGTGCACAACATCTACTTTACAACAAAGACGCACACTGATCACACAAATGGAGTAGACTAACTAGCCACACATTTGGAGTAGAAAGACACACACGCTCCAGTTGGGTCAACATGTCGACTCTATCGACTCGTTCCATGACTCGTTCATGGACCAGGCCGTCGTCGTTTCCGGTCGTCGGTCGTCCCGTCCCAACTCACCAGTTCACTGGGCCACCGCAACTGTCTGGCTTCAGAGTCGCTACTCGACACTGGAAAGGGGCAAGGACTACCTCCCAGATGGTTCCATCATGTCTTGTAGAATTAGGCATGTGAGCATATGTTAGTGTATGTTAGTATGTATGTGAGCATGTTGGTTGTCGGGTACGACAACGCCACGCTTGTGGAGGTGATTTACATCGCAAATCATGGATTATGGATCACATCACATGTGTTTCAGGCAAAAGAATTTGACAGGTCCTTTGTAGTCCACCCACCATGTACCTTTGAACCTCAGCACCTGCCCGCACAGAGAGAGCCCTGTTTGCAGTTCGTGTGAAGTCCAAAACAAATCGAAGCCAAATGAAACCAGTGGACTGGTGCAAGATGGTACTGAGTCAAGGTTCTATTCGGTAGCTAAAAGGTAACTATATGGTTTTCGTAATCTATTGGTACATGTACCAAAAACATGCGAAAAGCAGGGGTTCCAAAACTCAAGCTGTGGCTCAAGATGTTGCCTTTTGACCACGGCACCTGAAAAGGAAGAAAACACCATAGGCTACTGGCGGGGCCTTTCTACCACCAGAAACCGCAAGCCAAAAGTATGGTTGCTCAATGCTCCAAGCCCCAAGCTCGGGACATGACTTGCGTTGTCTACCCAAGTATACGGACGTTAAGGAGCGTTTCTGCAGACCCTCACAATGGTCGCACGCGCGCACCCGCTTGCGCCTGGCACCGTGTTATTGGAGGTGCCCCGCTCGAGAAGCCACCTCAAATGACGAGCGTCGAGTCTGTGAAGATGAGAGGAACCATGGACCAAACCTGCCAATTTTAGGCATGAAAAGCAAGCCTCTCTGAAAACGGTGACCACTGTTTGTTACATTGTTGGAACCTCCTGAACCAGCCTTTCTAAGAACCTGTTGTCCATTCTTTTCGCATTTCAATCCACCTGGCACCAGCGGCCTGGAAGTGGCTCCGGTTTCGCTGGGTTCGACCAGTCCAACGGAGCGGATCGGGCGACGCGGATCGGCGCGACGCGGATCGGCGCGGCGGGGCGCTGGTCGAAATAGTTGACCATCCAATTCTGGTCGTTGTGGTACCGCAGATTCACCTGCGCAAGAGCTCTGTCGCGCGCGGAGGTGGAGGTGTCGCCCCACTGGGCGGGCGGGCACCATCGTTGCATGGGATGCGAGTTCCTGCCATGCATCTAGCTTCTTCCACCACTGTCGGCGATGCTCGGGCCTCCTCATTAAATGCAGTGGCAAAGAAGAGGGAGTCACCATCCTGGCCGTCGCCATGCCCAGTCACTGCGAGGGCCCCACCGAAACGACGTGCGTACTGCGTTGACCCGTTGAACGGAGCGCATGGAATGACAACGAAGCAGGATGGTGGACGAAAAGGACATGGCTGCCTGCCACTCTCACATGGGCGGACGTCACCCTCAATAAGTATAAGTGGACTACATCTAGGGTGGGGTCAATCCTATCACAGTGTGTGTTCCTCCAAACTGCCCGATCGTCCAACAGCAAACCAATGGTCGAACGGCCCCAAATGCAGCAGGTTGAAAATGGCATCTGACCAAAATTCAAAAGTGTCAACAAGTGCCATAGGTATCCATAGGTGTCTCTTCAAATCCTCTTGCTCCTTGAAGATTCAATGCCTTGCAAGAACATCAAAGAGATTCTTCTCTGCCTTGTCACACGCGTTTTGCGCGCACGTTCTTTCCTCGCCTGCTTGACCAGTTGCCCAGTGCTGACGCACGCGCCCATGCCCAAGTCGGGCAAACCGTTGCTGCACATCGTCGCACAGCCGGCACCTGCAGGCTGTGAAAGGCCTTTTTGGCCGTGTTTGCCATGCACGGTGTTCTCGGCCAAACGGCCAAATGGATCCAAATGGCCCGAAGGTTTGGGCTTTCTAGAATTGTTTTGGAACCGCGCTCCAAGACCGCTCGCCCTGGTGTTACAGCCGTACTCTCGCATCAGACGTTTCTTGGGTCAGGAAGAAAAGCTGATCCAAACAAACGAGGTCATCGGACATTGAGCATCCAAAGACACACAACCAGGGTCACTGCATATCAGCATATCTATCAACTTACATCCATGGTTACTTACATCAATGGTCACAGCCAGGGTTTTGCATGGTTACTTACATCAATGGTCTTTGGTTCAGAAACCCTTCTTCTGGAGTCGCTGCCGTCAGCGTTCCGACATCCGGTGGCGCCTTGGAAAGACCAATGTCCAGTCCTGACAGCGATACGTGCCACCAGCCATCGCCATGGGGAGGGAGATCACCCGGGGTGGTCAAAGCTGCAAGGTGTAGTGTATGTGACATGGTTCAGCGTATGTGAGTATATATGTTTGATAGTGAGATATCCCTTCTTCCAGGGGTCGAACTGGGAGGTCTTCCTATTTTGATACACTCCCTGGTGTAGATACTTCGATTCTTGTTCTACTTCCATTGCCTTTCCAAATGGAGATAAACACATAAGTTCAACCATGTTCTGTCCCATTCTTTGGAAAGCTTCCAATATTGGCCCTGTGGGCCGCTCATAGAGGCCTTATGAGGCCTTGGTTCTGTCCCAGCTTCAAGAATCTACGAGTTCCGGCATCGATTGAATCGATTCCCCAAAGTTCCAAGATCCCAAACCGAGCGAAACCAATTCCAAGACGACCTTCAAAGGGATTGGCGGACCCTGCGTCGTCACTGGGGGTCACTGAGTCTGAGTCTAAGTCACTAGCGCGACGAGTTTCAAGTCCGCTAGTGGCACGGCCCATGTTAGGCAGTGCGGGGGTCTAAGTCAATAAATGCATCATCAATCCAACACCGCTGGCAGTCCCGTTGCCCGGGTCGTAGTCATAGGACCCTGTTGGACAGCTGCTGCCTGACATCGCCCGAGATCGTTCCATCGTTGCCACGCGAGAAACGTTGGGAAAGCGAGAAATGAACAAAGCATAACAAAGTAAGGTCGGCGCAACGAAAATAGGTGCCTGTTCATTAGACTGTCTCATGTGAATCTTGAGACAACTGACTCAACACGGCAAGGACTGTCGAAACCTCTCCAAGCCAATCTGTATGCTATTAATTTGTAGGCGGCATGGCGGCATGTCTTAAAATCGAGCAACCCGCCAGAACCCAGTCGAACACGGCAAAAGGGAGATGAATCAAAGCTTTTGTTGCCTGCGGTGCATGACGCCACGTGAAGAAAATTCCAAGACCGTCACGTGTCAGTTTGCCCCTGCCCCATGCAATTTTTGCAGAACGGGTTGTCTGACCCAACCTCGATGCACACCAGAACGTGGAAACTTTAGACTCAAGATGACTCAAGAAGACCAGGCCGATAGAACAAGCACCGGGACCGCCTGTCAAAGTGCCAACATTGCTCCAGAGCTGAAGCCTGCAATGTGGCTCAACCTCCGCCAGCCAGTGAGCGACGTGGAAAATCTTTGGTGAGGCTAGGTGATACTTCCCTTCAAACGGCAAAATCGTGGGAAAAGGCAAAGAAAATGATCCCAATCTCAAGGGCTGCTACGAAGTGTTGGGTTCTTTGAACACTGGCTTGGTTTTTTCTCCATCATGGATCGTTGCACAACATACCGTTACTCCCGCGTTGCGGGAAGTTCCATGGAAAGCAGGACTCTTCGTTATATGGCCAAGTCGTATGTGTATATATATATATTATATATAATACTGTATATTCTCCGGCCCCGGTCTCGGCCGATGAACGCAAGCGTGAGCGGAGCGGGGCCGGAGCGTTCCTGTTGAGGGGCTCCGGTGAGCGGTGGGCGGTGTCACGTTGCCGTCACATTGACAAACACTTGCCGAAAAATAACCGTTTCAATGACAGTCGTCTAAATTATTCTCTTGTGGAACCGTCAAGATCCTTCTCTCGGGAAAAGCATTGCCCAGGCTATGGTCCCGGGTTTGACTCCTTCTGGGTCTGCGTGGTATTGGGCGCGCCGCCTACGAGACGCGAACCCCGAGGACCGCGCGTGCGCGCCACTGGAGTCCATGTGTTCTCTTTCTGGTGGTGTGCGCGCTGTCCCTTCATGTCCCTTAGGGTTTTCAAAGGGATTGTGCCTATGAAGAAGTTTCTTCGAGGCCAAACTGACACACAGTTGACACCATACCTCCTCTCCTGCAAAACAAAACAATGTATAGCTCCTAGACCAAAGACAACCTGAAACCTTAAACATCTTCAACACTTGACACCTAGGCGCTTGCCTTTCGAAGGAGTTGTCCATTGCTCTGGAGTTCAGCGTAGCTCGACTCAAACCAACTCCGAGGATGGGATCTGAAGAAGACTTGTAAAAGGTCTGCGGAACAAAACATACCTGAGAAGTGAGGGGACGAAAGCCAACCTCCGTAAGAAGATGTCCATGCGGTTATGGGGGCTGAATTCGACAGCGCTATGGGGAAATAGGAGGCGGGCCGATATGACAGGCTCTTTGTACACAAGTTTTCTACCAAGGCCTATTAGCGGTGATGGGATAGAAGTGGAGCCCACGCGGTAGGAAAAATTGAGTTGAGCAGGACATTTACAGTCGCGGGAGAAAGGTTGACTTGAGCAGGACATTCACAGGTGGGGAGGCCTTTTTCTTTTTGGTTCAAAGGTCGTTTTCAAGAGGGGCGCTTGCCTGCAAAGTAACTGAGGGGCGCTTGCCTGCTGTTTGTTGCTCTTGTCTTGTAGATGGACTCATAAACTCGGAGTGCTGCTGAAAGTGGACCGATGAAAGTTTACTGCCAAGATCAAGTGATTGTCTAACTTCGGGGAAAGATTACCGTTGTTATGGGGTGAAGTCGACATTGCACTGTCGTCTACTGCTGTTGGAAATAGAAAGCAGAATACATAGGTTGGGGGGTGCCCTTTTCAAGGGCGTTTAAGATGAAAGAGGGCACCCCTAAGTAACTGAGGGGCGCTTGCCTGCTGTTTGTTTCTTGTCTTGTAGATGGACTCATAAGCTCGGCGTGCTGCCAAGAGTGGATCGACGAAAGTTCACTGCAAAGATCATGTGATTGTCTAACATCGAGCAAAGATTACTGAGGAGATCCCATCGCCTAGGCTATCGGCTGAGGCTCTCGCGAATATAGCCTCTTTTATATACTATACTTGCATCTCTCTCTTCAACCTTTTTTCAGCTTATGAGATGTCAGTCACGATGTCCTTGCGCCAAATAGCCTCCTGAGCCCCTCATGATGCTAATGATGCACTATTCGGCGTCAATTACATCACTTGCATCACAACACCCCAAAAACCATACATGCTCAGTGGTTTTTGGACCACCTCTTTTCGCTCTCCCTCACCAGGCTCTGGGTTCGACCTACCCTGCCGGGCCGGCTAGGTCACCACCCCCCCACACACACACCCCCTACACTCACTTCGTTTGGCCATCGACAACTCCAGCGTAGCCTATCGGCTGGCTTTCGTTATGTATATTATATGTATATGTGATTACAGAGTTAAAACAAACCACTAGAACGAAAAAGGTCTGCAGAAAAACGGTCCAAAGCAAAAATGTTTACACAAACCGCAGCAGCAGCAAATTCAACAACAAAACAACCAATCAAACAAACAAAACAAGACTAACATGCGGAAGGAAACAAATGCCTAAAGGCAAAAACTGAAGCCACAACACAGGACAAACAGATCTAAAGAAAAATGGCTAAAGAAACAATATCTTTAAAAAAAGAAACTAAAGGGCTAAAGGACAAACACTGTCAAACAAAGGAAACAAGCAACAGGTCTAAAGGGCATAAACAAAAACATGTCTAAAGAAAAAGGACAAGAACTAAAAGGTTTAAAGCAAGAAGAAAAAGTTGCCAAAAGGATCCAAAAGGTCTAAAGAAAATCTATTACAGGAAAAGAATGCTATAAGGTCAAAGGAAGAAGAAACGTATCAATAAAATATTGTCTAAAGAAAAATACAACTAAAAGGTCTGAAGGGGAAAAACACACAAAACTGCAAAAAACAACAACTAAAAGGTCTAGAGAAAATACAGAAGCAATGGTCTAAAGAAAAAGAACCCAAACTAAAAGGCCTAAGAAAAAAAGAAAAACGTCTCAAGCCGACTCTGAGGGTGAAATCTGTCAACCTGATGCTCTGCTCCTGTCTGCTCTTCTCGCCAGTCGCCGTGCCCCGGTCCGGTGGAGATTTGCTCGGGTCTCCCCGCAGGGACCAAATAGACTTGGAACAAGGCGATGGCCGCGGCCACCAAGGCCTGATTGGGTGGCCGAGAAGTGTTTGGACGTGAAGGATGTAATTGATGTAATTGATCATGTTTCACCAGAACAAATATATAGATCTTTCAATTTGAACCGGCAGTTCAGTGGTCTGTTGTTGACCAGGGCAACTCTCAACAACCCCGCCCCCTACCTTTTGAATCATCCACGCTTGTTTGGATCTGGCTTCTGGATTGGCTTTTTGGCTCAGAAGTTCTGATGTCTCGGGTCTCAAGTGGTGCAAACCATCAGCCCACTAGAGTCGAATATGCTAGAATGACTTCCAGAGGCCAATCTAGTCAGCATGTCCAGTCAGGAACGTTAAAGATTTATCTATTTAGCATAAATCTCTTGTCGCTCTCAAAAAGGCCGACATGGATCTTCTCCGAACCCCAACCACTTTCGACTCCTCATGACCCCTCGAAGAAGACGACGGTGTGGACGTGAAACTCTATCAAACGACCACGACTCTGGGATCGCCCACGACTAGAGTGATGTAGATGCAGCAGTAAAGACCCCAAAGTCTGGGGTTCTGGATGGCCACCTTGGCTCGAGACAAAGCAGAGCGCTGCTTCGAGCTCGAGAGCTCGAAGCAGCGCTCGTTTTGCCACCACTCTGCACGAAGTGGCGTCGCTTCCTTCCGTCGAATCGGAGATCGGAGAGCCGATCCATGCGATGTCACACACTGGAAGAGATTGAAAAGGGAAGGAGGGAGTCCCACATGTTCATGAAGTTCATGGGCCAAGTTTGGCTGCGCTGTACGAAATGGTACGAATTCCTCTAATCTTCGAGATGGGGGATCTGGATCTGGAAGAACTGGAGAAGTCGCACCACCCGGCGTCATGCATGCGTGTACTGTGTCGGTGATGCTGTTGGTACTCCGAGGTTTTGGAGTGTGACCTGTAGTAGAGATGTGTAGATTCGAAGAGGTGAAACAGGACTTAGTCACTTGACCTAGATACCTAGTCACTGCAGTCTCTACACTGTAGTTTACAGTAGTTGGATGAATTCCGTCAGGGTGCTCCATGAAAAACTCCTTTTATCTCTACCACGTGTGTATAGGAGTATAGGTATATTCTGACTACTCTGACTTTGACAAACAGAAGGGTACAACCAAAAGGAAGGGAGGGTGGAAAAACCTCTCTCCAGGTCACCAGGATCTATAGCTATAGCTCTCTGCACATCAGCTCCCATCTGAGGCGTCCAAGCATACTTCTGAAAATAGACGGTTGGCACCTGGGCAAAAAAAACACCGCGGATGCTTCGCCCGCCGTTTGGACGGACACTCAGCCCTGTTCGGAGTGCGCCAATGGACGGAGAATCTGCGCCGTTCGGAGTCTTTCGGCGTGATTTCTCTTGATAGCCCCTCCAGATGAAGGGGTTTTATTGGTCAAGACCTGCATATAATGTCTACATGATGTGCAAAAAGAAACATCAAGTCTACACAAGCTACTTAGTCTACTAAGGGCATTTTGGGCTTAGTAACAAGGGCATTGCTACTAGTAGCTAGTTGCTACTAGGGGAAAAAAGGAAAGAAACACACACGAGTCTCATCTCTCTTCTTTTCGTTGGGCCCCCAAGCCGTGAAACCTCGCATGGTCCCCCGGTCGCAAAGGGCTGCCGCCGGGAGCCGCTGAAGCAGTGGAGCCCCAAGAGCGGAGGCGGAGCGGCGCGGTATCTATGTGTGTGGATTGGGAAGTAGTCCAGAGGATATGGTTATGAAGTTGAATGAATATGATCTTTCCCTCAAGCTGAGAAGAAGAATCACATGCCAGTCTTCTTTTTGATTCACTTGGATCATGTCACTCTTTGTGACACATCAACATGAGCGGGCCCCACACTTTGGCATGAAAAGAACCTGTTTGGCAGACCAACACTGGGGAAATGTCGACACTCGCAGGTTGCCATGTCAACACCAGGATGTTTGCAAGCTTGACCATGGGTTCAGACAGAGCTTGACCATGAATTTCTAGACCAATATAGCAACGCATCGTCGTCATGCAAGATCCGTGGCTGCCTCACAGTGTCAAGTTTAAACTTGCCATTGGTTGCCACCTGATCCATTCAACCAAAAGCTACAAAGGGCGCAGTCCCACTCAATCTGGCCTTTTGGATTCCCAGCGTCATCTTTGTGCTCAGGGCCGCGACGGCGATTGTCCCGTAAAATATCTTTCAGGGCATAGGTATTTTTGGTCAATCCATCCAGAGGCTGGCAGTCATGCCACAAAAGAAAGAGAAAGGGATCATTTATGTGTTGTCAGCACAATCAACTGCAAGCTTCCCACTCATCTAGGCTTTGGGGGTACAATGGCGCAATGCTGACAGCATATGCACCAGCAGAACAAAGAAAACTAGAGCAAGGGCCTTGAGTACTGACGCCAAACAAATGTTAAGTTCTTTTTGGCAGCTGCATCTTTATCTCTAGTTGATTCACAAGAACGCATGATTCGACAAATGAAGACTAGCAGTGCTCCTAAAGCTGCATTAAAGTAAGTTTCATGTCAATCGAGGGTGATTTCATTTTATTCGAGGTACATGATATTATGTTTATTCTTTGTGCTGGGAAGTGATGAGGCCGCTGCCAGGCATAGCTTTTTCTCGCTCAAAGCCAGTGTGATCCAAACGTTCACACGTGTTCACACGTGTCACAACCCCTGGGTCGAGGTTCAGCTGCTGTTGCTATTGAACCACATAATCTCCAAACAAAGCTATTTGTTGTTAAATAGTCAACTATCGAGTATCAGGATTAACGTTTCTTAGGACTCAAATCCGACAATGGTTCACAAAGCTACCCCGAGACAACAGCCACCCTCTTGGTCGCTGCTAAAGAAGATTCACACCAGTCGTAGAACCCCATGCGCTTTGAAGGAATGGGGAGATCGGAGATAATATAATGGTTTTCCTCAGAGCTTGAAAGGTCCAATGGATCAGTGATCACGCAGAACCTAGTGACCAAGACAAAACGTAACCTGCCATTCGATGTCCATTCATCATGGAGCTGAGTGGCTGGGCATAAGCTCCTGAGCGATGCGTCGGGCAACCCAGAACAGTTTTCTGAGCCAGATTGAAATAGACTTCTCACGGCTTTGAGTTTCCTTTTCTGCCTAGTTTCCTTTTCTGCTTTCAAGTAGGCCACTCGCCAATGGCGAACAATCATAGGGCTGGCCTCAAGAACCTGCAAGAAGGCTGATGTTTGACGCCAGGGTATTGGGGAGAGTCATCAAGGAAACATTACATGTTTAGGACCCCACCTCTACTGGGAATGCGCTGGCCAACGAAGTGTATTTCAAATTTCCAACACCCGGTGTGTAGGAAAACATAGCAGGGGCCGTGGACTTCACCACATAGAAATCACTACCTTGGACACACAGCAAAAAATTGGTGTTGAAATAACTACATTGTCTTATTGTTGGTTCTTTGTTAAAGTGTCACACTGTGTTCTGTATAGATTCTGTTGTTCATACATTGGACATTAAAGCTAGAAAGAGCCTTAGATGCTAGTCCAGTGACCATCTCCAGAGTCCACCTCTGGACGGTCAAGGCTATGCCCATGAAGCTTCGTTTCAACCAAGCCCGTGTCTTCCATCTCATGAAGCAAGCTTCTGATGCTACATGGCTTGGCATCTGAGCACTGCTTGCTTGTTTCACTCTGGATCTCCAATACGACCTGATGGAGGTCATTCTTGAACTTGCACGGAATCGTATATTGAAACGCATCACCTGCAGGCCATCCAGGCAATCATGTAGGTGCACCTACCTTTGTGTGCAGCACAAACCAGTGGCCCAGAACCAACTCACAGTGCAATTTCTACCCCACGTACACTCTGTTGTGAATCTGCAGCTGCAGCTAATCACCTAGTCTCTATCAAGCCCCACTCCACCCTGCGCTTCAAAATTTAATTGCATCTCATTGCAACAACCCGAATTGGATGCGCTAGATGATTTGAGTGGGCATCACTTGAAGGAAAGCAACTCAGCAAAATGCTGACAGCACCTACTTGCTAGCCTTTGTGCGGCCAGTCCGTTGCTGGCCAGGCTTCAGCCGTCTACGACTCAACTCAGAATTGCTCATATGCTTCAGCACGTTCACACGAGCAGGGTGAGTCTCCCACCTTGTACACACACACACCAAGTAGGTGGAAGCAAACACAAAATAACACATATTCATCGAGACATCCAGCCATCAGTGGACCCATTGACTCACAACGCTGTACATGCATGATGTTAGGTGCATCCAAACCACGACGCTCGAGCCATCTTCAGAACTTCGGAAGCCCTCATCTCAGGATGTGCCTTCCTGAGCCGTTTCTGTTCCTCATGAACCACTGCCCAGTAAAGTGAGCGCATGTTCTCACCCTCAACTGGCTCTTCACAAGCTTTCTTCATCGGCTTCTTCGGCTTCTCCTCCTCATCCCAATCTCCAAGGCGTCGTGTGGCACTCGAACAGTCAGACAAATCTTCTTCAGAATCAAGGACATCGTCCTCATCACCGGTGGCCTGATAAAACAGGTGAAGGGCAGATGCACAGGTAAGATGTCAAACAGGTGAAGAGCTTTGGCGTTTTGTCATCAAGGCATGGCTTAACTCATGCCCAGTACTGATACAGTAAGTAGATGATTTAGTCGCAAAGTGTTTCTCACTACTCTTTCTGTAGTAAAATTTAATAGGTGATTTAGCAACCTAGTATACCTGTCAATGTTCATTGCTCACTCGAGCCTCCGTCTTGGCAGCAGTTTTGCCAGCACATGTCTCAGGGAGTTTCACATGCTCACAAGAACTCATATTACATCTCATCATACGACAAACTAAATAAGAAACAGTTGTAACACAGTAAAAAACAAACCAGGCCTTAGCCTTCTTGTTAGGCTTGGGTTTGGCGGCAGCTGCTGAACGTGTTGCTGCTGCCTTCTGTTTCCGAGTAGGTGCAGGTGTTTCATTAGGCTCTTCTTCTTCTTGCTCTTCTTCTTCTTCTGGTTCTTCTTCTTCTGGCTCTTCTTCTTCCCCCTTGGCCTTACGACCCTTCTTGGCCTTTGGTTTGGGTGTCACCTTGGCCTTGGCCCTACCTTTTGCCTTTGCCTTTGCCTTTGGGTTGGAGTTCTCAGGCTTTGCAATCCTCTCCTTGAGTGCTTTTGCAGCTTGGTTTGCGGACTGCTTTTCTTTGTTGATTTTTGCCATAGCCTGGGCCACCTCACCCTTCAGTTTTGCTGTCTTGTTTGCATCAAGCTTTTTGTGGCTGGAGTCTCCAGCTCCGCTTGAGATTCGAAGTGGCAGCTCCAAGTCGCGCTTTGGAGGAGCCGGACCCTTTGCAGCAGAGCCAGCGGATGGAAGCTCCGGGGAGTGATTCTGAACCTGGGAGTGATTCTGAACATGTCTTTAATTTGGAACCCAACATGGGAAAGCTTGACTCAGTTACAGCCTGTCTGGTTGGTTGCATGGAAATCATTTAAACATGCATTCAATGTTGCTAGTAGTAGGGCAGGCCAATGAATCTTCGAATGCAGGAGGATTGGCATATCTGGACGGTTGAGGCGCGAGCGATGTGGCCTGGTGGAGTCTGAATGGCCCCAGGGCTCGCGGCCAACATAGAATCCAAGTCCTGTGAAATTGAACAAACATAGGACCTTCAAGAGTCCAAGAGACATAAGAAATAAGAAGTTAAGCGAGTTAAGTGTGAGACTGAAAGCACTCTGTGGAAGTTTAAGGTGACTTTGACCTTCAAAGCCTCTGTTTTCAAAATCGACGCAGAACAACGTCAAATGTAGTTCGATGCAACCTTTTGCATTGAAATGCAACTTGTGGGTTCAGAAATGGAACAACTAGTTGTCATGAGTTTTGCTTGATTGGGACATGGAGCTGTCCTGTTGTAGCCCGTGCTTCGCCAAGACATCTTTGAGTGACAACTCTTCTACGCAACCCCCGCCGGTCGCCATATGGTATGACGAGTGTGATCTTCACAAGAGAGCCTACTTGTAAGCCTAGATCGAGAGCCTCTGCAAAACAGCAAGCAAAGGTCGTAAGTCAAGTGCAGGATGGAGACTTGCAGAAACTGATCAAGATGAAAAAAGGCAACTAGAGCAAACCAAGGCATACCAGGCCTCCACCCTCACGCATAAGTTTCTGCACCTTCTCGGGTTTGAGCCAGGTGGACTTCCCATGTGCAAGCTGAAACTCATCGTCAGCAATTTCGATCTCATGGTGGGCGACCTCAATCAGGTGTCAGGGACAGGCGTCAGTGTACGCTTGGGATATCCCCACCGTTTGGAAACTGGATGGAGCTGTGAAATACTTCTTCATTCAATTAGAAAAAGCTCGAGTACATACCTTGAGTCTAGACACCAGCCAAAGCTTCATCTTTTGGCCCTCGATCATTTCCACTTTGGCGCCATCCCGTCGAACAGCTGAAGTGAGCATCAGCATGCACCCTGGCTCCCGAGCTGGTACCTTGTTCTCGACCACGTACATCTCGAGCAAACGATCGACCGTGTCTGGCTCCAAGGTGAATGGTGTAGGAGCAGGTTCTTCTTCCACCTCAGGCGCCGCCACCACGGTGGAATCGGTCGTCGCAGCACCGCCGCAGAACCTTAGGGCTGAGCTTACTCGCATTTGACAGTTGGTGCTTTCAGGTTGAAAGTCACTTCTGGGATCTTTTAACATTGAGATTCATTGTAATTTACTGTAAGTCATTTTAAGTCTATCTAACAAACTATTGGAACTACCTTCCTTCAGGAGTTGAACAACTCCCTTCGGGAGTTGAACAACTTCTTAAGAATACACAACCTTGAAAACATATAATATCCATGAGGGGCTTTTTGTCGAAGTCTTGGATGAGGCTCCGCCATGAAGGCCCATAGAGCACATTGTCAAGGTGTAGCATGCGCACTTCGTTAGTGAGTTCAACCTTAAACTTCGCGATGCCCTTCTGTTTTGGGTCCATAGAGAGCTGGGCCAGCTTCAAGGGGAAACTGGAGATGTCCAGAGGTCCAGATGCATCTTTGGGTGGAGACGGATCATAGGCCCTCACATCTCCCATGAGTTTGCCACCCACCTTCCAATCCTGGAGACCGAGTTTCAAAAAAGATCTCTTAATATGAATGCTGCTAAAAGCTCAGGGTTCCAACTTCAATCGCGCAAGAACCTGAGTTAGAAACAGAAGAGTAGCAAATCATGGCATTTGTTCTTGGAACCCCCCACTGAACAGATAAGATTATTTGAAATTTATTCCTGGTCAACAATTCTTGGGCTACAATGTTCATCCACATAATGTCCTCAAAGAGATGAAAAGCGCAGACCTTCTCACAATGCTGGCTCACTGTCATGTCGTTGGCAAACGACAAGCTCCTGTAGGTGTGTTCCGGCTTTGCCAGCCCCCTCTTCAACAGAGAAATTTCGAGATTCCCATCGTAGGGCGTGAGGTTCACCACCCCGATCAAGGAGTCAGTCTCGCTCCCACTCAGCAAGCTTGTCAACACTGCATTTGGCATGCTTTCTCCAGAAAGCAATTGCGCCGTTTCCTGGACATCTGAAAGTGACCTGGCGGGTGAGTACAAAAAGGAAAACTTGTCATGTCATATCAAACAAAATGTTGTTCAACGCACTTGATGTAATAGGATGATAAATAACAGATATTTAGCATTCACCACACAGTGTTTGTCAGTGGGCCCATGGGTGTGCATCCCGCTTCGAACCGAACAATGCCAGCTATTGCTTTTTGACACGTGCCAGGCCTCATGCCTTCTGATGCATGTGGTACGGACTCTCGGGCAACCGGAACAGTGTACCGATGCTCAGGGGTCCAAGGCAGCAAATCACGAGGGGTCCTGTACATGGGTGATCCCACACGCAACTGTGTATTGTTTTGGCATTACTTCCAAATATTGAAGGTGTCCCTGCATTCAGTTACGATGAACACCATCCTCCAAGATGGGTTGTTGTAGGCATTCAATGATGTTTAGAGTTCCCTTAGAAACTAGCCAACAAGGTTATAGTTGGAACCGATCTTGGATATATGACATGAGAGGTCTGAAAGTCCCTCCTCTCCAACATTAGCTGTGATGATGCCCACACATTGGACTCCACACAGCCATCCGCGAAGATCAGCCACCCTGGATACCAAAGCTGGACCTTTTTTGTAGCGGGTGCAATTTCGCATCTGAGGGATATGCTCTCCGCATGCAAGTTCTTTGCATCCATCTTATCCTCGATTCTCCTGGAAGGAGTTTGATTGTTGCATACAACAGTAGTTTACCTTTTTGGGGGAGATGATTCTCTAACTGGTGAACCTTTACTGTGTATTTCCAAGCCAATAGCATTTTAACACCCTATCATCCCATTCCAACAGTTTTGGTGAGGTGAATGAACCTTAAAAAGATGTCGTCCAAATCCAAACCTTACACAAATGTCGTGTTGCCAATTCAAAAAGATGTCGTGTTGCAACCTTGGGAACCTACTACCTGTCTTGAGAGAAAATTGAGTGTCCTGAGCTCTGCTCGAATCCCACTTCGACGCTCCGAAACAAGGTGTGGCCCAATGGCAAAGGCCACTGAACGCTCTGGCATGCAGGCAAGGGCTTTCCGGATGCAATCCATTGTGAGGTTCAAATCCTGGGTCGTGACTCTACCCAGTTTCATATAGTCAACCCAAACGATCAGTGACCCATTGTCGGCCTTCAGCTTGGCCACAAACTCAGGGTGCGAGCAGCCGTGCACGACTCTATTTTCGGTAGTCCTCCCAAAAAAAGTATCATGTAAGGAAGACATGTTAGTTAGTATAGGTCCGCTAGAAAAACTTCTGAGGGATCTAGTTAACCTTGAGGCTCACCAAGGGAACACATTTTTTCACAACCTTGTGGGCGTTTGTGGAAGAAGGTTTAACGCTCAAACTTTGTACAAACCACAGCGCCTTCGAGAGTTCCTCCTGAATCTCTGAAGAAGAACCTGCTCGGTGGTGGCAGGACTTGGCCATGAAGGAGGCAGCCAAGCTGGACCCGATTGCATTCTCTTGACGCAAGTGGCACACCCTAGCCACCCTTGAAGCCCTCTCGGACTTGGTCTCCTCGCTGTACAAGCGAGCAAGTTGAGCAGCGTCCCTGGCCAGTGAGAGCGAGTCGGCTTCAAACTGGAGTTTCCAGTTCTGCTTCGTCAAATCCTCGATCTTTTCATCAGCGTGCACCAATTGAGCATCGCTAGGAGCAGCCGCTGCAGAAGGCAAGTGGTCACTCCACATAGAACACATCTCTGGCTTGAAGGCAGCGTCCTGAACCTCCATGATTTGCTTGAGCTCTTCGTGAAAGTCCCTGCAGAGCAAAAGTGACAACTGGTCCACTCACCACCAGCAGACACCCAACTGGAAAACATCGAGCAGGAAGACATGTAAGACCTACTCAGGATTAGGCCTTAATTTTTATGTTCAGACCCGGGACCAGGAGGAGGTGTGGGGAACAAGGGAGACGTATAGGTTTACCACGATGCACACCTGTAGGAAAGAACAATTTGAGTCTAATCTCAAATGAGCAGCCCTTCAATGAGTTGGTTCATGACCGTTTTAACGACGCCGTCATTGAAGACCATCAAATTGTTTGCATCCCTGTGATCATGCATCTGTTCAAGGACATATGCTCCAAGACAGCAAAGGTCGCATTCGGCGGCCCATTGTTGCGCAGAGAGACGAAGCACTTGGGCCTTCCCTGCTGAACGCTTCGTCACATCGAAGATGAAGAGGACCCGCTGCAGGAACACATGTTGCTTAGCATCTGTCATTGTCAACATCTCTGCCCAAATGCCGTCCATCGATTTGGGCTTGCCGTTCAAGAACCATCGAGGCTGCAGAAGGGTGTCTCGATGAAAGGCTGGCCAGGGCCAGGGCATAAAATCAGACGCCATAAAGAAGATTATAAACTTTTTAGGCAAGTGAAGGAAACACTTGAGGCAAAGGGCTCAAGAAACATGTTTTGGCATTTGCCTGCCTGACTGGTCAAACCTGTGCATGTCCAAGTGTTGCCGAATCATCTTCCAAACTTCGTCGCACACGCCCACCTGTTCATCGGAGGTTTCATGGGGGTGACATGCAAGATTTTGTCAAGCGAGTATGTTTTCAATGTTGGAACATGTTGGAAGCAGTGGTCCATGGCTTCAAACTTTTGGCCCAGTTTGGAACCCATAAAGGCCTTGAAGCCGAACATAAGGTTTGCTTGAGTCTTGTCAATCTGCATCTTGGCCGTCATCGCCGCCAGGCCAAAGTTGTTGTACTCCTCAATCGCCATGTCCCAGGCTTGGCGGTAGCCAGCTTCCCCAGCTGGCAGTGTTCCATGGTGCTCCTGTCAACACTGAATGGTGAGTTTTGTCAACTCTTTTTTGTCCGAACTCATGATCTAATTTGATATAATATAAAGCAAAGCCGAGCCCAATCATGTGGTTTCCATCCCTTCAAGGACAAAAAGCTTGATTGATCTAAGAGTTTTGAGAACAAACAACTTCTAGAGTCTTCTCCTTCACAAGTTGCTCAGTGCGCCCGTGGAAAGCCAAGCACAGTTGGAGGATCGATTTCTTTTGGCGCTCGGCCTGTTGCTCGCTCATTTGGATTCGCCTCCAGATGTAGGCAGAAGGGGTATCCTGCTTGATGTAAACCCCATTGACTGCGATGCCATTCTCGATCCACCTAGTGGCTCAATCTTGTAAAGGATTGAATTTGTTTGTCAAGCAAATAGCACCTAATCAATTTAGGTGGCGTGACCCTACCAAGTCCCCAACTATTCACAACTTGACACCCTCCAATTCCATCATGTACAGGTTTGAGTTCCTAGCGCAACCTGGTCGAAATCATGTATTGTAAAGGCGACGATGGCGTCCTCACCATCACCTTTGAACCCTGCCAACAAAGCATAGTTGCGTCACCTTTGGGCTGGCCATGTACTCAAAAATCCAAAGGCGACGACGGCACCCTCACCATCACCTTTCACATTTTGCCCCCTCCCTTTACTTACCAGCCCAGCCCTCGCCAGGTTACATTTAGTCTTCAGGGCCCTACCCAGGGTTAGCTGAGACTTATCATGTGAAAGGCGACGATGGCGCCCCCACCATCACCTTTCACATTTTGCCCCCTCCCTTTACTTACCAGCCCAGCCCTTCTTGATCTTCTTGCAAGATTACATTTAGTCTTCAGGGCCCTACCCAGGGTTTAGCTGAGACCTATCATGTGAAAGGCGACGATGGCACCCACACCATCACCTTTGGATTTTTGAGTACATGGATAGCCCAAAGGCGACCCAACTATGCTGGATGAGCTACTAAAACCAATCCGGGCCACTGTCGAAAATCATCTAGCTCTTCTGGAGTCAGGCCCTTTTGGAGGCAGAGGAATGTGTAGAACAGGGAATAGAGCAGCACCGAGGTTCTCCCAAGGCCTTTCACCACCTCGAGACTCCCGAAGCACATTGGCTCTCCAGCCAAGTTTGTGTCCACAGGTCTGTACTCCACTGCTTCTCGATGGCGTTCAAAGCCCAAGCCCCAGATCGAATGGGCTGTTGACAACCAATCGCCAAGCATAGGCAAACCGTCCGCGGGCAAGGTGGGGGTAAACGCCAAGATCGGGATCAATGTTGATGTTTGCGTTGCTCCATCCTGAAAAGGGAACTTTCAACTGGGGAACAGTTATTGTTTGATTGAACACATTTGAACACAGGTTGGTCTATTGGCAAACTTGTCCGGAATGGTCATTGTATCTGGCCGCGGAATCTCTTTCCCCATCACGGTGGCAAGCCAGTCATGAAGAGGTTCGAAAAGCTCACGCTTGGCGTTCTTCAACAGCCAGGCTACTGGGTGTTCATCTTTGGCTGGATCGAAGTTCCTGAGGCCCAATATGTGTTAGATACAAACCGTTTCAACCATCCTCTTGGTGACTGGGTGGGAAATGGAGGTCACCAGTGCTCAGAAAAGGGTCTGGGCAGTGAGCGACATTTTGTTGCTCCATGCCCCGAGCTTGAGGACCTTCTGGGACTTGCTCGATGGCGGCGTCGCCAAGGCATGGCCACGCTTACCCATCCCGCAGTCGCACCAGGTGATCCTTCACTACCCTCAAAAGTCCAAAACCTTCTCCGGGAATGAAGTTGTTACAGCATCTCAATGTCAAATTCAATCCCCATGCTTTCTGGACTCCAATGTCAGCCTAACAAACCTTTTCCTGAAGGGCATTATCCGAGTAAGCTGGAAACTATATACCCTGAGGGCACTAATTTTCAAAAGGTCAGATGCTTTGAATTAGCTTCATTAGCTCAACTGAGTCCAAGGATTGCTGCCACGATGATGGCCCCCACACAAGGGAGGGACATAGCGTTCCCAGCCATCCTCACAGATGCAGTTTTGGAGGCAGAAGCAACGCCCAGTGGGGGTGCTCCAGCAGCTTCGCTCTGGTCAGATGTCAGAGGCAAGGCGTGCGTAGTGAACAGCTCCACCGGATCCATGACTCGTCGTGAAGCCTCCCAAAGAATGGAGTTTAGTTCAAGTCAATGTCCACTTTTAAAACAATTGACATCATCATAGTACACTAAGTGTTGATCCCTTGGCACCTTGCTGAACAAACTTCCACTATTCGTTGTCAAAGTCATGAGGGAGCCATCTTTGCACTCCGTCCTCCCACGTGAGTTCCGCACCATCTGATTCAAGTCGCAGACTTTCCAGCCATTCCTCGGGAAGTCTGTGCAATAGTCCTTCAGATTGGCCTCCTGGGCGGTATAGGGTAGAGGTCATTTGTTCTGTAGAAAGTTCGAGAAGGGAATCCAAACAAAACCAGGATGTGACTAAGAAAGAGAGTGAGGGAGAGGGAAAGAGTTAATTTTAGGCTAAAAGTCCTGCGCAGAAGACAATGATGATGATTGGGGTTTGCTCCAGAAGAAGTCGTCAGCCGTCATGCATGGCCTAGCCTGCAAAGCTGATAAGACCTCTAGGAATGGAAAGTCGGGGTTCCATTGGCCCATGTAGGCCACATTCCAAATGATCCCATAAATCCTTGGGCGAGCGCATCCATAGCCGAAGCACCGTGGATCCAGCTTCACAATCCGAGAATCCCAACCCACATTCCCAAAGTGAAGATCAACATAGTCTTGCAATTGGTATTCTGTGACATTCTCGATGATATGTATGTCGGCAGACTCCTTTGCATGACTGTAGTAGTGTTCGTGAACACGATGTTTCACATCTGCTTCCTTCTTGCGCAGGCCCATCATGGAATACGGTTGGCAAGGTGGTCCTTTGCGGGCTTGAGGCTGGACATTGTTATTTTGGGGGAATGTCTACACCCGACCTGAATAGTGAGGGGCTTTAACATGAACCAGGTTTAGAGTTAACCCAAGTCCTGCCACATTGACTCGCAAGCCTGAGCTTAGGTGGGTTGCTTGGTGTTCAAAGAACATGAGTTGAATCAGAGTACGTTGATACATTCTCGAACAAGAATCAGAAGCTAAGTAGCTTTTTGGTGTAACTGGCAGTTCACAGCTGCACAGCTTTTGGTGTTTTACACACCAAAGCTGCTTCTTCTTCGGGTCAAAGTCCATGATGTTTGTGAAGACACATGAGGAGTAAGTATCACAAAGGACTTTTTGGCAAGAGGTATCGAAATCACATGCGAAGTGAAGTTTGATATGTTTCCCAAATCTCTTCGGCATCTCCTTGTTGATGGCTGACTGCAAACTCAGCAGGGCCTGGGGAAACATGAATTTTGTTCTTCCCTGCCATGATCCTTCCGCGTGACCCATGAAGTAACCCCTGAGACTTCGACGGACTCTGCACAGCCAACCCCAGAGAACATGGTGGCGCAACGCCACAATGGCCACTTTTTCAGTCGGTCTCGAACCTGGCGCTTGCCAAACTTGTTGAACAATCGCATCAAATAAGTTGATGCCCAGCTGAATGTCTCATCGATATTCTTTGGTCCCAAAGGGTCTGAATCAGTAGCCATCGGAAAGGTCGTTTTCGGGTAGAATCTCCTGGGAGAACTGGGACAATGGTGTTTTTGAAGAGAACATGAATTAGAACTCAAGCTTTAAGTGACATTGTTTGGTCTCCTGCAAGGTGTTTTTTCCTTCTGCACAGTCCATCTCTCTTGATGTCCTGTGGTGGTGAATGTTTGGGGACCCCCCGGACGTTTCACTAGTCTTAAAAGCACAGCTGGTTGGTTTTAACTTGAAGACGGCGTACAAGCGTTAACATTAGCTGGTTTTTCGGTGCGCAACCCGGTGTTTGAGGTGGTGCGCAGGGTGGTGCGCAGCCTGGTGCTTGGAGTGGTGCACGCGCACCACTCTGCGCACCACTTTGCGCACCGCTTTGCGCACCATTTTGCGCACCACTTCAAACACCGCTCTGAGCACCCCTCCAAACACCAATCCAAACACCATGTGAAAAGATATCAAGATTGGTGGGCGCGCTGTTGTGTTTCACGTTCTGTATGCCAACATGTTTTGGCAAGCGCGCGATCGCTTTTCAGCAAGAACACGCGTTTAAAATCTAAATCCCACGTCCATTGAGCTCCTTTCCGTTGAGTTCTGGTTGGGTTCCATTGGCTTCCGTCCCAGCATTGAACGCCCAGAATTTAGCCAGTTTTTTCACAATTCCACCCGCCCACACACTTTGTTTCTCAATTTTCGTCTTTCCGTTGACTTCCGTTGAACTCCCGCTGGGTTCCATCCCGGCCTTTAACGCCCAGAATTTTGACGAGCCAGGGCACACTGTTTTCCTATGTTTTCCTGAATTTATTCATGACTGGAGTCTTTTCTATTGAGTTCCGTTGGGTCCGCTGACTTCCGTTGAGTTCCCATTGAGTTCCGCTGCGTTCCGGTTGGGTTTCATGGGCTTCCGTCCCAGCCGCTAAAACGCCCAGAATT